CCCCAGTGTACAACCTGTGTACAAGAGGCACCTAGTGTGCCACCTGTGTACAAGAGGCTCCTCGGGTACAACCTGTGTACATGAGGCTCCAACCCCAGTGTACAACCTGTGTACAACAGGCTCCAACCCTAGTGTACAATCTGTGTACAAGAAGCTCCTTGGGTACAACCTGTGTACAAGAGGCTCCAATCCCAGTGTACAACCTGTGTACAAGAGGCTCCAACCCTAGGGTACAATCTGTGTACAAGAGGCTCCTCGGGTACAACCTGTGTACAACAGAAGGAAGCACTGCCCAGTCCCGCAACAGTCTCACAGGCACAGGCCTGTCTGAGGCCACCGCTGCAGCCACTGTGTCAACCCATCTCCTGTTTTCCATTGACCTTCCACTTTACCTAGTGGGAAGTCCTGCTCCAGGGTTCCATCCCTCCTAATAACGTGGCCAACTCGATGAGATGACGTCTCATCATCCTTGCCTCTCAGGGGTCCCGAGTGGCCTGCTGGTATCTGAAATGCTGGTGACAAAGCTTCCAGCATCACAGTAATAGACAAGCCACCATGGTATACTGACAGGCAAGTGGTGTGGGTTGGGCCTGTTAAGTGCCATGATTCGAGTTCCACTCACAGGGTTCCCTACGCTGCCATTGTGACAGGAGTGGATCACTCATGGGGTCTTTTCCCATGAGTCCCTGGGGTGTCTAGAGAGGTTAGTAGGTTTGAACTACTGATCTTTTGCTTAGCGACAAATGCTTCACTTAACCGTTACATCACCACGGGCAAGAGTGATCGATATAGACACAAGGGACTTGATTTTGTGCTATTTCACTTTGCACTTATCCGAGAAAATCACACAGTTTGTCCTGAATAGTCATGAAAGCCCCCAGTGACATCTGCTTCATAAAACACACAAAAAAAAACCCTCACTGCCACGGAGTCGATGGTGATTCATGCTGACTCTATGGGACAGAGTAGAACTGCCCCTGCAGGTTTCTGAAACTGTGTAACTCTTGACAGGAGTCAAAAGCCACCTATATCTCCCTCGGAGCAGCTGATGGTTTTGAACTGCTGACCTTGCGGTTAGTAGCCCATTGTGTAACCACTATGTCATCAGGCCTCATTCTGGTTTACAAAGTCCCCAGGAGCCTGGCCTAAGAACTGAAGTCCCAGAAGCCTTTGTTCCTCCCCCTCTGAAGACCTCTCCTGTCACTTGGATCGCTAACTCCCACTCTCATCTCAAGGCCTGGGGTGTTCCCACGCCTTTGCCACCAAGGTGCTGCAGAAGTCAGGGGTGAGAGGGGTGAGCTTTTCGCAAAGTGAACACTCCACTTCCGGGCCACAGCCTAAGCCAGTAAGCAACTTGTAGGAAATACACATATTCCTTTTGGCTGGCTTTCACCGCTTCACCCCAGTGGTTTCCAGAGTTTATACCCAAAACCACACCTCCAGTTACTAGAGCTGTTTGCTCCTGCAGTGATGGGCTCCACGCTTTTCATATCCAGATCTACGGAACCCAAACCATGCTGAGGCATGGGTGCCAGCTTCCGAATAAGAGGAGTCTGTCTACATGTTCCCCCCGGAGTGTAAGCCAGCCCATGACAATCCCTCCAATGTGCAGAGCACCCTGCCCCTCCAAAATACACATATTTTAATAAATTCTGGTGCACAAGCATGTGTTGACCTCTCTTTTGAGCCCGAACACCTCGGAGCTACCCTTCAATTTTCCATTGTGCTCACAGGACACTGGCTGCCTTTGTAGCGCTCCATGCGGGCGGCCTGGTTAATGTGTGACTCTCTGACTCTCTCCCTAATCGGCCAGTCACGGGGGCCAGTTGTAAATTCTGCGGCGTGTGTCCATTTCCTGGGGCTGACATTAAAACGCCTCTGAGGGCCTGGCCCTAGCTCAAGGGGCTTCAAGTTGAAATTTTCGTATTCAAATAGAGCTGTCGTTGGTCCCCCAGCTGATGAAAAAGCCTGATCTTTGGAAAGGAGGCAAGGGCCGAGAAGTATTGGGATAAATGCCACAGCCACTTGGA